TTCACTAAAGGGGGGGATTGGGTCCTGGTGCAGGCACTTCCTGTTGGAGGGTGACAACTGGGGGCTCTTTTTTTTTCAAGAAACATGACCGTCTCAGTCCTTTTTATACTCTATTAGATTGTACACCCCTTGAGGGTTAGGGGCTGATGTGAATGTACAATATATATGTAAAGCGCTGTGTAAATTGACAGCGCTATATGAGTACTTGAAAGAAATAAATATATTTGTATCAGGAAATCAGTGTGCCCCGTGCAACATCCAAAGTGGGACCCTGGTATAAAAAATAAATGCGGCACTCCAGGGCAACAAGGGGGTGTGGTTGAATAGAGTCTGAGATGATTTACATCATGTAGAATGTGCTAATGTTAAATAGGAAATGAAAAGTGCAGAGCAAAGGGACAAAGATGGCAAATGTGAACCCTTCCCCCATACCAAATAGGAGGAGAGAGAGGGTGTGGGTGAGAGAACGAGAGAGAGAGGGTGAGGGTGAGAGAACGAGAGAGAGGGTGAGGTGAGGGGGAGACGAGAGAGGAGGGTGAGGGGAGAGAGAGAGGGAGGGTGAGGGAGAGGGAGAGAGAGAGAGGGGAGGAGAGAAACGAGAGAGAGAGAGAGAGAGGAACGAGAGAGGGGAGAGAGAAGGAGAGGAGGGGGGAGAAAATGAGAGAGGGGGGGAGAGAGAAATGAGAGAGGGGGGGAGAGAGAGAAAAACGAGAGAGGGGGGAGAGAAAGAGAAAACGAGAGAGGGGAGAGAGAGAAAACGAGAGAGGGGAGGGGGAGAGAGAGAGAGAGGGGGAGAGAGAGAAAACGAGAGAGAGGGAGAAAACGAGAGAGGGGGAGAGAGAGAAAACGAGAGAGGGGAGGAGAGAGAAGAACGAGAGAGAGGGGAGAAGAGAGAGAAAACGAGAGAGGGGGGGAGAGAGAGAAAACGAGGAGAGGGGAGAGAGAGAAAACGAGAGAGGGGGGGGAAGAGAAAACGAGAGGGGGGGGAGAGAGAAAACGAGAGGGGGAGAGAGAAAACGAGAGAGGGGGGGGGGAGAGAGAAAACGAGAGAGGGGGGGAGAGAGAAAACGAGAGGGGGGGGAGAGAGAGAAAACGAGAGGGGGGGAGAGAGAGAAAACGAGAGGGGGGGAGAGAGAGAAGGGAGAGAGGGGGGGGGGAGGGAGAGAGAAGGAGAGGGGGGGAGAAGAGAGAGAGAGAGAGAGGGGGGGAGGGAGAGAGAAAACGAGGAGAGGGGGGGAGAGAGAGAGAAAAGAGAGAGAGGGGGGGAGAGAGAGAAACGAGAGAGGGGGGGGGGAGAGAGAAAGAACGAGAGAGAGGGGGAGAGAGAGGAGAGAGGGGGAGAGGGAGAGGGTGAGGGAATGAGGGGAGAGAAAACGAGAGAGAGGGGGAGAGAAAAACGAGAGAGGAGAAAGGAGAGAGGGAGAGAGGAAAGAGAGAGAGAGAGAGAGAAGGGGGAGAGAGAGGGAGAGAGAGAGAAAGGAGAGAGGGTGAGAGAACGCGAGAGAGGAGAGGGGAATGAGGGAGAGAGGAGAGAGAGAGAGAGAGAAAACGAGAGAGGGAGAGAGAGAAAACGGAGAGAGGGGAGAGAGAGAGAAAACGAGAGGGAGAAGAGAGAGAGAAAAAAGAGAGGGGGGGAGAGAGAGAAAACGAGAGAGGGGAAAGAGAGAGGAAACGAGAGAGGAGGGGAGAGAGAGAAAACGAGAGGGGAGAGGAGAGAGGAGAAAACGAGAGAGAGAAGAAGAGAGGGGAGGAGAAACGAGAGAGAGGGGTGAGAGGGAGAGAGAGGGTGAGGAGAGGAGAGAGGGTGAGGAGAGGGAGGGAAGAACGAGAGAGGGGGGGGAGAGGGGAGAGAGGGAGAACGAGAGAGAGAGGGGGGGAGAGGAGAGAGAGAGGGGAGAGAGGAGAGAGAGGGAAAACGAGAGAGGGGAGAGAGAAAACGAGAGAGGGGGAAGAAAACGGAGAGAGAGAGAGGGGGGGAGAGGGAAGAGGAAGAGAGAGAGGGGGGGAAGGAGGAGGGGGGAGGAGAAAAACGAGGAGGGGGGGGGGAGGGGGAACGAAGAGAAGAGGGGGAAGAGAGAGGGGGAGAGAGGGGAGGAAAACGAGAGGAGAGGGGGGAGGAGGAAAAAGAGGAGAGAGGGGGGGGAGGAGAACGAGAGAGAGGGGGGGGAGGGGGAGAGAGAGAGGGGGAGGAGAAAACGAGAGGAGGGGAGAGGGGGGGAGAGAGGGGGAGAGAGAAAACGAGGGGGGGGGGAGAGGGAAAACGAGAGGGGGGGGAGAGAAGAGAGGAGGGGAGGGAGGGAAGGGGGAGAGAGAGGGGGGAGAAAACGAGGAGGAGGAAGAGAGAGAGGGGGAGGGGGAGGAGAGAGGGGAGAGAAACGAGAGAGAGAGGAGGGGAGAGAGAAACGAGAGAGGGGGGAGGGAAGGGAGAGAGAGAGAGAGGGGGAGGAGAGGGAGGAAAACGAGAGAGGAGAGGAAGAGGGGGAGAGAGAGGGGGGGGAGGAGAGGGAGAGAGGGGGAGGGGGGAGGAGAGGGAGGAGGAGAACGAGGGAGGGGGGGGAGAGGAGGGGAGCTGAGGGGGAGAAAAAGGAAAAGAGGGGAGAAAATGGGGAGAGAGGAGGGGGGGGGGGAGGAGAGAAAGGGGGAGAGGAGAGGGGAGAGAGGGAGAGAGAGGGAAAGAGGGAGAGAGGGGGAACGGGGAGAGAGGAGGGAGGGGGAGGAAAAGAGAGAGAGGGGGGAGAAAACGAGAGAGAGGGGGAGAAAACGAGGGGGGAGAGAGAAAGAGAGGGAGGGGGAGGAGAGAGAGAGGGGGGGGAGGGGAGAGGGAAAAAGGGAGAGAGAGAGGGGGGGGAGGAAAACGAGGGAGAGAGGGGGGGAGGGGGAGGGGGGGGGGGAGGAGAGGGAGAGGGGGGGGAGAGGGGAAGGGAGGGGGGGGGGGAGAGAAAAGAGAGAGGGGGGAGAGAAAAAGGAGAGAGGAGGGGGGGAGAGAGAGAAAGAGAGAGAGAGGGAGAGAGAGAAAAGGAGAGGGGGAGAGAAAACGAGAGGAGAGGGAGAGAAGGGGGAGAGGAGAGAGAGAGAGAGGGAGAGAGAGAGGGAGAGAGAGAACGAGAGAGAGGGAGAGAGAGAGAACGAGAGAGAGGGAGAGAGAGGAGAGAGAGGGGAGAGAGAACGGGAGGAGAGGGTGAAAGAACGAGAGAGAGGGGAGAAGAAGAGAGAGAGAGAGGGGGAGAGAAGAGAGAGGAGAGGGGAGGAGAGAGGAGAGAGGGAGAGAGAAACGAGGGGGGAGTGGGAGGAGAAACAAGAGAGGGGAGAGAGAGAGAGAGGGAGAAAACGAGAGAGAGAGGGGGAGGGAGAAAAAGGAGAGAGGGGGGGGGGAGAAAACGAGAGCGAGGGAGAGGGAAAACGAGAGAGAGGGGGGAGAGGGAAAAGAGAGGAGAGGAGGGGGGGGGAGAGAAAACGAGAGAGAGGGAGAGAGAAAACGAGGGAGAGAGGGGGAGAAGAGGGAGAGGGAGAGGGAGAGAGAAAACGAGGGAGAGGGGGAGAGAAAACGAGAGGAGAGGGAGAGAGAAAACGAGAGAGAGGGAGAGGGAGAAAACGAGAGAGAGGGAGAGGGAAAACGAGGGAGGGAGGGAGAGGGAGAGGGAGAGAGAGGGGGAGGGAGAGGGAGAGGAAGACGAGGAGGGGGGAAAGAGGAGGGAGAGGGGAAAACGAGAGGGAAAACGGGAGAGGGGAAAAAGGGAGAGAGGGGAAAACGAGAGGAGGGAGAAGAGAGGGGAGGAGGAGAGGGGGGAGAGAGAGAGAGAAACGAGGGAGGGGAGGAAAACGAGAGAGGGAGAGAAAAAACGAGGGAGAGAGAAAATGAGAGAGGAGAGAAATGAGAGAGAGGGGAGAGGGAAAACGAGGGAGAGAAAGAAAACGAGAGAGAGAGGGGAGAAAGAGAGGGAGAGCGAAAACGAGAGAGAGAGGAGGGAGAGAGAGAGAAAACGAGAGGGAGAGAGCGAGAAGAAACAAGAGGGAGGGAAAGAGAGGAAACGAGAGAGACAGAGAAAGCTAGAGAGACAGGGAGAGAGGGAGAAAGAGAAAAATGAGAGAAAGAGGGGGGGAGAGAGAGAGAAAACGAAAGAGAGAGAAAATGAGAGAGGGAGAGAGAGAGAAAAAACGAGAGAGGGAAAGAGAACAAAAAAGAGAGAGGAGAAAAAATGAAAGAGAAAAAGTGAAAGAGGAGGGAGAGAGAGAGAAAATGAGAGAGAGAGACAATGTCCCCTATGTGATGATTTTTGGTGACAGGTTCTTGAGATTTATTGCGACATCCAAGGTGTAAAAGACTCTGCATGTCTCCCCTGTACTACCCTGAATGTAATGCAGTGCACATCACACTGCATTACATTCTTTCCTGGCCTCAATTGCCAGGAATCTCTTAACAGGGACCCGGAAGTGACATCATAACATCATTTCCGAGTCAGGACAAGAAGGGGAGTGGACGTGTCTGCTCTCCTTCCTCCCCTCCAGCACCTGGTGGTGAGCTGGTCCCGGGCCCACAGATAGGCAAGCAGAGCCCGGGAGACAGTGGGCGGGGGGGAGCTTCACATGGGGAAGGGGGGGAGTGAGGCTGGCACTGTGTGGAAGCAGTCGGCGGCAATGTTGCCACCTAAATGCTTCCACCTGACAGGTGAGCCCTGATGCTTGCCCACAGCGGCTAATCAGCCACTCCGATCACTTTTATTAGAAGCAGTAGTAACATGTGTTTGATGATCTGAATCATTTAAGTGTCACGAATATGCAAATTAAAAAACAAATCAAGAAGGGGCAAATATTTTTTCACAGCACTGTATAGATCAGTTGTTGGTATTGGAGGAGATTGATCGTAGAGTAAATCGATCATTTATCAGTGGGTCCTTGGCCATCATGAGTGACCCCCTATGGATGGGTATACCAGTGCTAGAATAGTGAGCTGACTACTCTGATGTATCACCCGTTTTATCTTTGTGACTACAGATCCCACAATGGCCGTCATCAGCAGTCTGGTCCCAGCAAGATTTCTGACGCTGTTGGCTCACCTGGTCATCGTTGTCACCATATTCTGGTCGAGGGTGAGTCCTCTCTTATTTTCAGGTGTTTTATCTATTGTGCATTCTCCTCCACACACAGCGGCTAAACATTGAGAATACTCCGCACTGTACTCGTATCTCACAGGGGGTAAGAGAAAGGGCCCAGGTGTGGTGGGTGGTTAGAGAAAGGGGCCCAGGTGTGGTGGGTGGTAAGAGAAAGGGGCCCAGGTGTGGTGGGTGGTAAGAGAAAGGGGCCCAGGTGTGGTGGGTGGTAAGAGAAAGGGGCCCAGGTGTGGGTGGGTGGTAAGAGAAAGGGGCCCAGGTGTGGTGGGTGGTAAGAGAAAGGGGCCAGGTGTGGTGTGTGGTAAGAGAAAGGGGCCCAGGTGTGGCGGGTGGTAAGAGAAAGGGACCCAGGTGTGGTGGGTGGTAAGGGAAGGGGGGGGGCCTGCAGGTGCAGTGGGTGGTAAGGGAAGGGGGCTGCAGGTGCGGTGGGTGGTAAAGCAAGGGGGCTGCAGGTGCGGTGGGTGGTAAAGCAAAGGGGGGCTACAGGTGTGGTGGGCGGTAAAAAGGGAAGGGGGCTACTGCAGGTGTGGTGGGTGGTAAGGGAAGGGGACTGCAGGTGCGGTGGGTGGTAAGGAAAGGGCCTAGGGATGTAATGGGGGGGCTCTGATGGGGACCTGATGTAAGGGGGGGCATCTGGGGATCCTGGGGGCAGGGCTCTGATGGGGACCTGATGTAAAGATGGGGGCCTCTGATGGGGACCTGATGTAAGGGGGGGGGCTCTGATGGGGACCCTGATGTAAATCCTGATATAAAGAGGCGGGGCTCTGGGGATCCTGATATAAAGGGGGGCTCTGATGGGGGCCCTGATGTAAGGGTGGGGGGCTCTGATGGGGACCCTGATGTAAGGGGGGGCTCTGGGAATCCTGATATAAAGAGGCGGGGCTCAGATGGGGGCCCTGATGTAAGGGGGGCTCAGATGGGGGCCCTGATGTAAAGGGGGGGTCTCTGATGGGGACAGGGAGCTGTGATGGGGACACTGATGTAAGTTGGGGGGGGGGGGGGGGCGTGATTGGGATCCTGATGTGAGGGGGTGATTTTGTTGTGTTTTACTGAAGTCCTTTCCCTTTTTTTCTGAATTATATTGTGATGATTCCAGGTATACTGAATCCATTTGTTTATTATTCATTGATTTATATCATTCCAGATTTTATTTTCTGCTTGAGAATATTTGTCAAATACACAATGTGGCTGATGTACTGAAACGTTTGGAGACCCCTCTTTTATATCCTAGGAAATATTAGAGAAAGTCATGTTATATATATTTATATATTAACCAATAAATATTTTTTGTCTTTTTTTTTTTTTTCTAGGAAATTAATGTTTTAGCCTGCCTTCCTGTTGGTTATACGCAGGATCAGTACAATGCAGCCGACACCCAGTAAGTACTGGCCCTCCTCCTGCTGGGTGGATACAGACGGAAGGGGGCTATGAGTCTGTCCTCCTGCAGGGTGATACAGACAGAAGGGGGCTATGAGTCTGTCCTCCTCCTGCAGGGTGATACAGACAGAAGGGGGCTATGAGTCTGCCCTCCTCCTGCTGGGTGATGCAGACAGAAGGGGGCTATGAGTCTGTCCTCCTCCTGCAGGGTGATACAGACAGAAGGGGGCTATGAGTCTGTCCTCCTCCTGCGGGGTGGTACAGACGGAAGGGGGCTATGAGTCTGTCCTCCTCCTGCAGGGTGATACAGACAGAAGGGGGCTATGAGTCTGTCCTCCTCCTGCAGGGTGATACAGACAGAAGGGGGCTATGAGTCTGTCCTCCTCCTGCGGGGTGATACAGACAGAAGGGGGCTATGAGTCTGTCCTCCTCCTGCGGGGTGATACAGACGGAAGGGGGCTATGAGTCTGTCCTCCTCCTGCGGGGTGATACAGACGGAAGGGGGCTATGAGTCTGTCCTCCTCCTGCGGGGGGTGATACAGACGGAAGGGGGCTATGAGTCTGTCCTCCTCCTGCGGGGTGATACAGACGGAAGGGGGCTATGAGTCTGTCCTCCTCCTGCGGGGTGGTACAGACGGAAGGGGGCTATGAGTCTGTCCTCCTCCTGCGGGGTGATACAGACGGAAGGGGGCTATGAGTCTGTCCTCCTCCTGCGGGGTGATACAGACAGAAGGGGGCTATGAGTCTGTCCTCCTCCTGCAGGGTGATACAGACAGAAGGGGGCTATGAGTCTGTCCTCCTCCTGCAGGGTGATACAGACAGAAGGGGGCTATGAGTCAGTCCTCCTCCTGCGGGGTGATACAGACAGAAGGGGGCTATGAGTCTGTTCTCCTCCTGCGGGGTGAAACAGACAGAAGGGGGCTATGAGTCTGTTCTCCTCCTGCAGGGTGATACAGACAGAAGGGGGCTATGAGCCTGTCCTCCTCCTGCAGGATTATACAGAAGGGAGCTATGAGTCTGTCCTCCTCCTGCAGGGTGATGCAGGCAGAAGGGGGCTATGAGTCTGTCCTCCTCCTGCAGGGTGATACAGACAGAAGGGAGCTATGAGTCTGTCCTCCTCCTGCAGGGTGATACAGGCAGAAGGGGGCTATGAGTCTGTCCTCCTCCTGCAGGGTATTCACTATCTCCTCCTTCCTGCAGGTTGATTGTGGCCCTGTCGGTGACTCTGGGAATGTTTGTTATTGAGCTGGCTGGTTTCCTCTCTGGAGTGTCAATGTTCAACAACACACAGAGCCTACTATGTATCCTTTGTACAGCAAGTGTTCTATACCCACTATGTAATGTAAATATAATTGTGAGTGATCTGTACAATGGGGAAGAATTACTAAAACTGGAGCACTCAGAATCTGGTGCAGCTGTGCATGGGAGCCAATCCGCTGTTAACTTCATTTTGTTCAATTAAGTTTTGACAATAAAAACCTGAAAGCTGATTGGTTTCTGTGCAGAGTTGCACCAGATTTTGTACTCTTTAGTAAATCCCATACAGTTTGTACATGTTACAGATGTGTGTTTCTTGTGCAGTAAATTTTGGACTAGCCAGTACTGCTGGGTGTATCTAGAGGAGGAGGGAAGGGCAGCTATAGCGGTTAGGTGCTGTGATCACTGACTGTTTAAATGAGTATTAACTTTTAGAAAGTATTGAGTTAAAAGAGAAGTATGGCCAAAGCTTGACCGCTGACATCACAGAGCCGCTCCAGGCTCTGGAAGGATCCCAACCATATTGTCAAGATCCACCCGGATACCTGAATGACAGCTGGCTCAGCTTCTCAGCGAGCCATTGACAGCCTGAGCCAGCTGATCCCGCCTCCTCTACAGCCCAGAGCTGATTGTCGGCTTGCTCTGGTTCTCAGTCAAGCACTGAGAGCCAATGCCACCTGCTCCAGTGAGCGCTGGAGGGGCAGAGCGGAGAGCAGTGACTGACAGTCACAACCCTCTGCTCAGTGCTGACCAAGAACTGAGCGATTGGCGGTGTTGATGTGATCGCACAGTTCTCGGGCTTGGAGCAGGCAGGGAGCAGCTGCAGCATCAGACTGGAGAGGAGAGCATAGATTTTTATTTAACAACCTCAGACTTCTCCTCTAAGCTTTTGTGTGGTATTTAAGACATATGAACAACTCTCATGAATATTAAGTACCGTATTTTTCTCTCCATAAGACGCACTTTTTTTCCCCCAAAAAAATGGGGGGAAATGTCTGTGTGTCTTATGGAGCGGCCGGACCGGTATTCCCGCCGCCATGTTAGAATATTGGGCGGCCACTTGACTATACTGTGCAGAAGAACCTGCTCCTCGGTCCTACCTGTTCCTCGGTCCAGCAATGTCCTGCTTTCACCGGCCGTCTTCTCTCCCCGGCACTGGCATCTTCAGTGTGGTCACCTGGCTGTGACAGCTTGCGGCTTCTTAGCCGGGTGCCCACTGCAGTCTTCTGGGACCTGTCACGTGTCCCACAAGACTACAGGGAGGACATCTCCGCGGTGGGGGAGCAGGTGCCTGTCAAATTCGGGTGGTCATCTCCTGTAGTATGTCCACAGTCTCTGGTCATCTCCTGTACTGTGTCCGCAGTCTCTGGTCCTCTCATGTACTTAGTCCGCAGTCTCTGGTCATCTCCTGTACTTAGTCATCAGTCTCTGGTCATCTCCTGTACTTAGTCATCAGTCTCTGGTCATCTCCTGTACTGTGTCTGCAGTCTCTGGTCATCTCCTGTACTGTCCGCAGTCTCTGGTCATCTCCTGTACTGTGTCCGCAGTCTCCCGGTCATCTCCTGTACTGTGTCCGCAGTCTCCGGTCATCTCCTGTACTGTGTCAGCAGTCTCCGGTCATCTCCTGTACTGTGTCAGCAGTCTCCGGTCATCTCCTGTACTGTGTCAGCAGTCTCCGGTCATCTCCTGTACTGTGTCAGCAGTCTCCGGTCATCTCCCTGTACTATGTCAGCAGTCTCTGGTCAATCTCCTGGTCATCTCCTGTACTATGTCAGCAGTCTCTGGTCATCTCCTGTACTATGTCAGCAGTCTCTGGTCATCTCCTGTACTGTACTATGTCAGCAGTCTCTGGTCATCTCCTGTACTATGTCAGCAGTCTCCGGTCATCTCCTGTACTATGTCAGCAGTCTCTGGTCATCTCCTGTACTATGTCAGCAGTCTCTGGTCATCTCCTGTACTATGTCAGCAGTCTCTGGTCATCTCCTGTACTATGTCAGCAGTCTCTGGTCATCTCCTGTACTATGTCAGCAGTCTCTGGTCATCTCCTGTACTATGTGTCCGCAGTCTCTGGTCATCTCCTGTACTGTGTCCGCAGTCTCTGGTCATCTCCTGTACTGTGTCTGCAGTCTCTGGTCATCTCCTGTACTATGTCTGCAGTCTCTGGTCATCTCCTGTACTGTGTCTGCAGTCTCTGGTCATCTCCTGTACTATGTCTGCAGTCTCTGGTCATCTCCTGTACTATGTCTGCAGTCTCTGGTCATCTCCTGTACTATGTCCGCAGTCTCTGGTCATCTCCTGTACTATGTCTGCAGTCCATTGGTTCAGAATATTTTTTTCTCGTTTTCCTCCTCTAAAATCTAAGTGCGTCTTATGGTCAGGTGCGTCTTATTGAGCGAAGAATATGGTAATTAAATACAGGGCCATACATTCAAGAAGAACATTCCTTCTTTATTCCTTTCTGTCCAGCTTCTATGCTCCTCCTCTACTAGAAGCCCTGTTTGTGGGCTTTATTAAAGTAGCCATCCCCGTGATTACGCTCCGAGGGGCTGAACGAAACGCGTTGGTGGTTTGGCCCTGTTGAATCCCAGGCTGAGGTTGCCACATACCATACTACAGCAGGTCTGTCTTGATGTGCAGCTTATGGGACATTCATCTTGTTAAACCCCTGACGTTTGGAGTCAGGACAAAGCCCCTTCCCCAGCCAACACTAACATTGGTGGACATAGGATTAGCACTCCTAAGCCTGAGTGGCCCACTCTATTTTCTATTTGGTTCATGTTATATAAGTGGAACTACACTCCCGTCTGAGCACCACAAACCAAGAATTGGTATTTAATTTCATTTGTAATATTCAAAGCAAACTCCCCCATCCATCCATGTCACCATGCTTTATTTTGCTGAGAAATCATTTCTAGCATTTCTAGCTGTGGCCATCTTGAGTAAGGGCAGATGGTTTATGTAGCATTTACTTCCTGAAATTCATCGGCCCTTAGCTCAGGAATGCAAACAGGAGGGTGTGCTTAGCTGACAAAACCCCTCTTCCCCTCCTGAAGACTCCTGGGGTGTATGACATCATTTTGCCTAGGCCAGGGGTAGGCAACCTGCTGCTCTCTAGCTGTTGTGGAACTACATTTCCCATGAGGCATTGCAAAGATTACAAAACTGACAGTTACAGCTATGGCTTGCAGAGGCATGATGGAACTTGTAGTCCTGCGGCTCTCAGGTTGCCTACCCCTGGCCTAGGCATAGAAACCAGAGAGTAACTGAAGACACGTAAAGCAAATGTTTGAAACAAGTAAATATGATATACGTTCTTATCTGTTTACTAATCATAACAGCATAAGGATCAAACATAAACACTCTTCACTTGGGAGAGTGAAGCTCCATTTTAAGGTTGAACTCCGGCAAAGCTCAGTTGTCTCTGATGTACAGTGAGAACACCTACAGGAGGGGGCATTTCAGCTCATGGGCTCCCACCCAGTTTCCCTGTACCACCCATTCTGTCTTTTTATTGGTTGCTACGATGCAGGTGCCCCCTGCCTTAACATCTTTTGTTGCTAGGATGCAGGAACCTCCTGCCTCAAAACAGCTTTTGTTGCTAGGATGCAGGTGGCCTTTGCCTCAGAGCCTCTTTTGTTGATAGGACGCAGGTGACCCCTGCAGTAAAACGTCCGTTATTGCTAGGACGCAGGTGGCCCCTTCCTCAGAGTTCTCTCATTGCCAGAACTTGGGTGTCAGAGTGGCTTTGTTGCTATAATGCCTTTGACTCCTTTTGCATGGCATCTTTTGTTACTAGGACACAGGTGGCCCCTTCCTCAGAGCTTGTTTTGTTGCTGCGAGGCAGGTGGCCGCTGGCACAGCACATCCTTTATTGCTGGGATGCAGGTTGCCCCTGGCTCAGAACATCCTTTGTTACTAGGACACAGGTGGCCCCTGGCTCAGAACATCCTTGGTTACTAGGACACAGGTGGCCCCTGGCTAAGAACATTCTTGATTACTACCACACAGGTGTCCCCTGGCTCAGAACATCCTTTGTTGCTAGGTTGCAGGTGGCCCTTGCTGCAGAGTGTTTCTTGTTGCTAGAATGCAGGCGGCTCCTGCCAAAAGAGCATCTTGTTGCTAGGACACAGGTGGCCCGATCCTCAGAGCATGTTTTGTTGCTAGGGCGCAGGTGGTCCCTGGCTCAGAACATCCTTTGTTACTAGGATGCAGCAGTTGGCCCTTGCTGCAGGGTGTCTTTTGTTGCAAGGATACAGGTGGCCCCTGCCACAGAGTGTCTCTTGTTGCTAGAATGCAGGCGGCTCCTGCTGAAAGAGCATCTTGTTGCTAGGACACAGGTGGCCCGATCCTCAGAGAAGGTTTGGTTGCTAGGGCGCAGGTGATCCCTGGCTCAGAACATCCTTTGCTACTAGGATGCAGCAGGTGGCCCTTGCTGCAGAGTGTCTTTTGTTGCAAGGACGCAGGTGGCCCCTGTTGTAGAGCATCATTTGTTGCTAGAATGCAGGCTCCCCCCTGCCAAAGAACATCTTGTTGTTAGGACGTGGTGAGGGTGTGCAAAAAGAGCAGGACCTGCACACTATGCTGCTGAAAGAGTTCACAGCTCATGGAGGGGGGTACATTTCTAGTCTTTAGGCCTTGTATGCTAAAATAACATGTCCCAGTAGCGTTCCCCACACCCCCCCACCAGGTGCTGTTGTCATTTCTACCAAACCCCCACACCCTAACTTACTGCTGTTCTATAGTGAGGTGGGGGGGTCAGTGGAAGGGACTAGACATTACAACAAATTCATTTATTTTTGTAGCCTCCCTAGCGGTTTGATTATGTCCATATTTCTGTGCTCAAAGCGGTACATTTTTTTGCATGGAAAGATGTCGTTTTTTATTGTAGGCTGTAATTTTTAGGAATAACTCACTGAAATCTGTCCGAACAAGAGTCTAGTAAACATCCCGGGTATGATAAAACTTGAAACACGAAATCATAAATTATAATATAATAAATAATCATAAAAAAAATAATAATATAATAAATTTAATTCAATAATGT